ACGACGATGATGATAATGGAAACAAAAAGAAAAGTTTAAACCTGATTAGGATTATAGAATTTATGTTAAGGTCGGGTTTTAGTGTAGCAGACATAATAATACATATAACTTATCAAACTACATTAACTACTCTACAAATTACTGAATTGACAGCATACATTATAGGAAATTCACTAATTACAACTTTTGATATTACTAATGGTATTTTGAATTGGTTAAGTAATAATACTGATGAAGAAGTTGAGTTAAACACTTCTCCCCCTGTTAGCGTTAATAGTTCTCCACCTATCACTGTTAATAGTTCTTCAACACATACCGTTAATTCAACGTCGCGAAGCTCGCGAGCCTCTGGCGAGGCGTCGTCAGAAGAAAATGTTAATTATGAAATAGCACCGCCGACCGACATTCCTATTCCTACTGATGCTGAAACCGATGAAGAAGATAAGGATAAAGATAAGAATAAAGAAAAACAAAATCTAAAATAAACAAATATGAAAGACATAGAGTTAAAACCATCATGAAAATAAAATCATATTTTAAAATACTTACTTTAAAATATCATTTTTCAGGGGTAGAAACTAGGATCAAATTATTGCCTTTGTATTTTCTGTTGTAGTCATTTTTAGGAGGTTGATTTACTGTTCCTTCCTCTTCCTTTTTTCTATGATACCTTTGTCGGTCAAGTGCCCTTTTTCTTTCAAGAAATTCAGGGTCTTCTACCTTTTTCTTCTTATAATATAATCTAGTGAATAAAGCCATCTGTTCCTTAATCTCATCAATTGTCAAGTCATCAATATTTTTCGTGCTCATTTTTATCTTAATATATTATGGTAGTATTTCTTTAAGTATATTAAGGCAAAATATGAATTAATATATATTCAAGAAGGCGAATAAAAGAGTAATACGAAATATAGTTAAGGACATATTAACTATTATTAATATATAGACTAATTTATGACAAAAAAACGTATAGATACAAACATTCAAGAGACAGGAAAAGGGGCGGTATTACCGCTCAAACCCTACAGAAAGTCAATACCATCATTGATTTTTATGAAGACCGCAAAATTGTTCAATTTGACACGGCAAACAAATTAATCAATGGCATCATTGCAACAAACGACAAGGAATTGAAGAAAGGACTGAAGCAATATGAAAAGGCAGTTGCCAAATACCAAAACATAGCACCCATAGGCGAGAGAATGAAACCAACAACTGAAAAGGCAGTCAGAGGCAAGAAACTAGCAACAATCAGGAGAAGAATTAATGAAAAAACACCCTTACGAAGAATTCAAAGGATGTATAGAGACAACATAACGAAGGACAGAAAAACGATTGTTATTAAATATATTCTTTTTACTAAAGACGAAGGACGCGCTACAAAATCCGGTTTTTTTAGATTGAATGGTATTAAATACTACCCGTTGCTATATCCTAACGTTAAAAGGGCAGGCAACGTAAAAGCACAGTGGGAGTTTATTACTAATGCTGTTAATGTTAAAATTACAAAGCATTTTGATAAACATAAGTTTCATAAACTGGTGGCAGTGATGAGAAGCGACCCAGCGTTTAAGAGTTTTACAGATGGCGAGGTTTATAACTACCTTGATTGCATCAAAATAGAAAGCGCCGACTTAGTTGATGAGGGCGCAGTAGATTATGATATTTTTGATGATGAACTCACCGACGCTAAACATAACATAAGTATTCATCATAGATACATTCAAACCGAATTGAACCCTGACTGCTTAACATTGAAGGAAGCAATAAAAAAAGGTGAGCATATTGAAAATGAGTGCTGGATTAATACGTTGATGGAACACTACGCGGACACGCTGATGAGGCACAAAAGAACCAAAAAGAAGAATTTAACCAGAGAGAGGATATTAGAAATCATCAACAAAAGCGATGAAAACTTCAAAAAGCACGGTGCTTCAATCATGCAAATGGATGCTGTGTTTAAACAGTTTGACATCAAAGCAAGAATTTATGACATTGACAGCAAATTGATTTACAAGCATGATCCAAAAGACTTCTACAGCAAAAAAATGATTACTTTTAACGGTTTAGTAAAGAACAGTCATATTTACACATTGAACCACGACATGAAAAGTCTTAAAGCAACCCCTAATGTAGAAGACGTCCATAAACTTAAAATCCATAGCAATTATTACATCAGTAGCAGGGAGACACCCATCAAATATAAGATGATTGAAAATTTGGACGACATATTAAAACTCAATGAGGAAGATGAATACAAGTTGATATTGAAAGACAATGATTTAGACAAGGCAGTTTTTGAACTCAAGCAGATAGGATATGAACCACAAATAGGATACACTGCAGGTAGGACAACTGAAGTCAAAATGGATTTTACGCATCAAATAGGAAAGAAGCAAAAGAAAGTTTATTATTCAATAGTAAACCAGAATTTTGACAGAGACAGAATTGATGAGGACATCGCAGTTGACGAAGAAGAGGTATATAATAACATCAGTGAAGAAATGTTTAAATTTAACAGAAAATTGTTGTGCGAAAACTACAAGAGTTATTATAATGAAGTTGATGTCCAGATTTTGGATGAATGCAGAACAATCGTAGCACACGGCATGATGAGAAGCAATGTAGGTAAGGAAGTAGAAGGCGCGAATGCTCGCGAGGCTCTGGCGAGCGTCAATGAAAGATGTAGCATTGACACATGTAAAGCATTTACACATCAAGGAAGCAAGATTAATTATATCCCGATTTTTAAAGAGTTTGATGTGTGGAAACCTTACGATCACACTTGCGATTTCAACAGATTTAACAATTACACACTGTATTATGTTCAAGCAAATCAGGGCAACATCTTTTTTAACAAAAAATTTAATCTGGTGTATGGTAAATACTTAAAAGAATTGGTTAAAAGAGGCGTTGTGATGAAAATACTATATTATAAAACACCGTCGCAAGTGTTGAAGGTAAAATACAAGAAAGCGATAAGCGAATTGTTTAAATCAAACATCAGTCCTGACGAGGAGCAAAACAACAAAATCAAGAAGACAATAGCAAATATTACTTTTGGACTAATGGAAAAATCATATAACAGAAAGTCAGTGAGTAGGATCTTTGACAATGTAGGACATGCTTTACATCATCAAAGAACCCATGGAGGCAGACTGTATGTTTTGGATGATGAAGAATATGAGTGTTTTAATAAATGGCAACTATTAAACGATGATGAGTGGAGTATTGAACTCTCCGAAGATGAGAGACCATACTTCCAACATGTAAATGGTAGTATGACATTTCCTGAATTTGGTATCGATTGCAAAGTTGAAGACGGCAAGACTTATTACAGCGAACGGGGTGAGAAATATAGGGAAACTGAAAAGATAAGTAAGACTGCCAAATATTATGTTGTTTGTCTTACCGACCAAAGAAAACTAATGAACGGATTTAGACCGATTAAAGAACTCCTACTTCAGGGTCATAATTTTGCAATGTATGAAGCATACGAAAAACTGAAAGCAAATAGTATTAAAGTTTATGCGGTGAAAACCGATGCCTTTCATATTGCAAAGAAAGATGTAAGGAAGGCAAAGAAGTTGTTAGATTTTCATAATGATATTGGAGGTTGGAGAGTAGAAAATAATAAAGTCTATGAACTGGAAACTGATTACAATTGGAAATTTAATGAGTTAGTAAAAATACCAACTTTTCAGAATGAAACAATACCGATTGAAGATGAGTGGGATGTTGAAAGCATCTGTAATAAGATTATTGAAAAAAGAAGAGTTATGATTAGAGCAACATTTGCTGGGAGCGGTAAAAGTTTTATAGGCAAGTATATGGAAAATTTAGGATACAATACACTTTTTGTAGTGCCTCAAAATATGTTAAAACAAGAGATTGAATGCGAAGCGGTGACAGTAAATACATTCTTTTTATTTTCCCTTAACGACCCTCGCATTAGCGCATGGATCCTATACACGTAAAGAGACAAACAGTCGATGCAAATAAGTGTGCTCCACAATCCACACATCAAGTGCACTTGCTCAGGAAAAAACGGAACACTCAGCAGGTTCCTTTTTCACACAGGCACAAACGGGGGAGAGTTCGTCTCCGAGCCCGCAGCCTCAGGCTGGGGGCTAGGCCAATATTCCTAAACGGAAAACAGGGCGGGAAAAGCGAAGCTTGGGCGGGACAATTGGCCTTAGGAGCACTCCGCGTCCACCCACCCACCCTAGAGCCAGACACAACACGCAATCCTTGCAACGAGTCTGAGCTAAGACAAACAACTCCAACTGAATGCTCGTTTCCTCACGAAGGTTCGGAATCGTTTGTTGAAAAATAAGGTATTCATCTCTACGAGGGTCCCTACTTATTTTCCCTTAACGACCCTCGCATTAGCGCATGGATCCTATACACGTAAAGAGACAAACAGTCGCTGCAAATAAGTGTGCTCCACAATCCACACATCAAGTGCACTTGCTCAGGAAAAAACGGAACACTCAGCAGGTTCCTTTTTCACACAGGCACAAACGGGGGAGAGTTCGTCTCCGAGCCCGCAGCCTCCCCCCATCCTTAGTTGCGAGGGGGAAACTCAGGCACCGCTTCCCATTCCACTTTGTCCTGTGTGCAACCAAGCGCTTGGAGCTCTTCGCATTCCAAACGACTGGGTGAATCTGCTGGATTGGAGACACTTGGGCAACGGGCAAACCAAGATTTAATCTGAAGGTCTGCTTCGAGGCGGCAGCTCTCGACAACCCACCTGTCTGTGAAAGTGGTTGCTCCTGTCCCGCGAATGAAAGCGGTTCGTGCAGCTTCATTGTCAATGTAATAGACCACCTGCGAAAAACAAAGAAATGATTTCCAAAGTCGCTGCGCAATGAGCACTGGCAAAACTTCCAGCTCGTAAATCGGATTCCTGGATCCAGCACACAAAGCTCTCATGAACACATCGGGCACAAGCTCAGAGAAATAGCGTGTGCATCTACCTGAAGGATCCACGAGTACGCCTCCGATCGAACCCGTCTTGTCGCTCGCTCCTTCGCAAGCGCCATCCGTGAAAACGATCCAGCACTCCTGTATCTTGGCAGCAACTTCAAGAGGGCGACCTTCTCGCACCCTTTCAATCAAGAAATCCAGAGCACGGATCATTGATTGGGATAGCTTGCACACTGTGACGCCTGGCCCTGAAATGAAAGGCAACCTCAGGGCCCTGATGGCGCTGTTGGCCTGCCGCCCCCAAACAAAGCCTTCAAACCAAATCATGCGACCTCGAAGCTGCTCCGAATGTTTGCACGTAAGTTCACCCGCTTCCAAGATGCCCTTCAACGCTTCTTCAAGCTCTGCTTTGCGCTCGGGAGTGTGCATAATGCGGATGCGCCCTTCAAGAATGGTGTCAAGACCAATCAGCAATCCCAATGACTTCACGGTAGCCGAAAAGTCCACTGCCTTTTTGCCGTCTTTAGCGAACTTCACTCCCCACAGGTCGAAGAGCGCCTCAGCACTCACCGCAGCTGAGGTCAACGCACGTGCATCCGAGAAAACTGTGAAGTCATCGTAGAAACTCGTCCACCACAGCTTGGGCCCCTTGAGGCCTGCAAACGTCAGAGCTGCCGAAATACGCAGAAAACCGCCAACGCTGCCCACTGCACCGAATGGGAGAGCGTTTGTTCCGAAGAATGCTAATTCACCCGAGGGTGTCTTGACAGCGATCCGGGCCAAGTCCCTATCTGAGGGATCCCATACTGTTTGTAAGCCGAGGTGAGATCATAGGTCTTTCCCAAGACGCCGCCCATGGACCTGCTACTTTTCGAATCGATGACGAAAGCCAAGTGAGCCGCGATCTCATCTATGGATTGAACCGCCAGTTTCTCCCTGAGTCCAGCCAAGGAATTCAAACCTCCAACCGAGAAATCATCAATGACCCTGGTTTTCTCCTTTTGCGCCAATCCAAAACGTTTAGCCAGCAGGACCTTGCCAAGGTCCGGGGCGTCGTCTCTGAAGATCCACCCGCGTTCCAGTTCCGCCAGCGTCTCGTTCCAGGCCTTGGCGTCCGTCTCACTAAAGGAGGTCTCAGCCATCTGCTTGACAATTCGTTGATTGACAGAACTAGCCATGGCCATGACCGCTGCCGCGGGCATGGTGGGCTTCCGAATTTTCTTGGGGAAGCATCCGGTTTCCCGCAACCAACCAGTCAGTTTGAACCCTTCTGATACATCCTGCTGCAAATACTTGTCCTCAAAGCCCAGTCGTTCCAACATCTCGCCCATGAGCAAAATTCGCTTGCCTCTCAGCACTTGCTGCAAATATTCCGGCATAGACAGGTGAAGGGTTTTTTCGGCATGCTCGAGCTCTTGAGCCCTCTTCATCCAGTACGTCAAGAAATCAATGCGAGCCCTGATCAAGTCCGTCACCGGCCAATCCCTGTTTGCCACGACTGCGTCCTCCGAAACAGCATTCAACGTAACTGCCAAACTCCTCGGGTGTCCAGCCTGCACCGCCGCTTGAATGAAATCGGCGGGCTTTCGTGGCACTCCCAGGACAATCTTCTCCATCACAGCATCATCTGCAAAAGAGCCATGTTCAGCTAATAAAAGCGCTCCTCCACTGCAGGCCCGCTCGACTTCCCCCCTTTCCACAATATGCCTGCGCACAATAGCAGTGCCCTTGGGCATCGATTCCAAATGTTTATCAAGCGGTTGGGTATTCTGCGCGGCGCACAGCACGACGTGGTAGTCGCCGAAATCTGCAAGCAATGGTTTTAGCCTTTTGCCCCTGGGAAAAGCGCCCATGACAACGCGATGCAACGAGTGATGCGGCTTGTTGGACTGCGTTTGGAGATCCAAAGCATCCACAGCGCCTGCCCGCAAAACTGTCTGCTTGACAATAGCCGCCATGCGCTGCACCAGAACAAAAGGGTAAGCGGCTTCGCTTGCCGTGTCAAAGGTCAAACGTTTGTTACGCGCAACTGTTGTCCAGGGTTTGTGCGGGTGCGAACCATCACAAAGCAAGGCAAGAGGATTGAACCATTGCACATTTGTCCAGAACATTGTCCCCTTGTCGCGTTCTCCTCCGTGGCAACAACTGTGGAAACGCACCTCGAAGATGGGCACGTCTGATTGCAACTGCTTCATGGGGGAAGTGATCCAGAAATACGACCCCCATGGATTCTCAATTGTAAAAGCAACCTGGAGTTGATGGGCCAAATAACAAAGTTCATGCACTACCTCGTAAAGAACGTTGGCTTTCTCCGTTCGGGCTTTGTTGGCACCTGACAGATTGTCGAGCCCGTCAGGCCGGGCTGTGGACCGTAAAGGTCCAGGCACACTGAACCCTTGAGCAGCCCACTTCTTGAGAGGCCTGTCTCGGGCCTTTGAGGCCGTGCCACAAGGCGGCGCAAAATGAATCCAAACTATGCGAGACGAATTTGCTTTGATGTAACCACGCAACTCCGCAATGCCATGCTCCTTGCTGAGGTCCATGGTCACGATGTGCTGCTTGGCTGCTTTGGAAATGGTGTGATCTATAGCCATTGCTTGCAGTGCCACTTTGGTGACTGCCTGTGAGAGCCTAGCACTGCCAGCAAAAACTTCTATGCAAATCAATTCTTCAGTGAAAACCCCATTGCACTTCTGCAGAAGGGTGTCCTCTTCGGACTTCTCAAAAGGAGCTTCGACACCTTCAGGTGTGTCGGCCTTGGGCTCCGAGTCGAACCTCGCACGCTTCGCTTCTTGGCGAGGCATGCAAGAAGGGCCCGGCTTGTCAGCAAGCAACTCCTGCTTGCGGGCACCAAGCTTCTGGCTTAAAGACCCGCTTGCATGAAAAAGCTGTGAAACCAAATTCTCGCTGCCACCGGATCGTCCAACCGAAAGTCAGTTGGCTCTGCAGTTGACCAAGCTGTGATTCTCCTTGTGGCACTTCGCGCACACATGCACCCCCTTGGTGCATTGCTTGGGACTGCCCGAAGTGGCCAGGCTACACCCCTGAGCGAGGTTGTATCCATAGCAAATCCTCTGCTTCGTGGCAGTCTGCAGTTGGAAAGGCCTCAATTCTTCGGGCATTCTCGGGCCCCGAGCCTTGAAACGAGGTGGAGCCTTATAATCCTTTGCAGAAGGCTTCGTCACCTTACTTGTTTTCTTGGTTTTCGGCTCAGCAACCGTGCTCTCTTTGGCCACATGAGTTGGCAAAGGAAGAAGGTGCATGGTGACACGCGGATCAACTCGCAGCTTCTCCACCACCGGGTTGAGCGGCTTGACGCCGTCTGCAGCCGGCTTCAGGCTAGGCAGACCTTCATCCGACGCCAGCAACCACAATTGCTGGTCTGCCTTCATCAACTGCGAAACCTTCACACTGGCGTATCCTTGGGGACTAGGCCGAGTCAGAGTGGTCATTAATTGCTGTACCCAGGCTTCATGAACGCTCCAATCCACAAGAAGGCGAAAGCAAGACCTCTCCTCTGCAAGGCCCACTGCAAGCGAAGTTCTGTGCCAACGTCTGCCTTAACCTCGGGCTTAGCCGATGACAGTTTGATTGTGTCAGCATCAACCGACAAAACCTGCCTGTTGTTCTTGTTGAGCTGCAACAACTCATCTTCTCGCTTGCCACAACGCTCAGGACTGATCCACAGAACAACATTGCTTTCCACGATGCCCGCTGCGAGGTCCAACAAAGCATCGGAAGGCTCGAGCTCTCCCTTGGCCAGGATGCCTCGGAGTCGAGCCCGCTGATCCCGCAGCCTTTTCGGCCGCCGGTAATTGTGTGGCCTCGGGCTGGGAGCTGGAAGAAACCTTGGACTTGAGGTCTGCAATGACCAACGTTGTCGCTTCAAACTGCAAACGGCGTAGATTGGCTGCGACACCAAGATCGGCTCCCTCCCCGAATACCTGTGCAGAGAGTTGCGCAAAGTCATCCTGATTCATTGGCTGCTGCGGGGTCCCGGAAATAAATGCAAGCTGGGAGAAAGTCCTAATGTTCTGCGAATCCAATCCTCGGAACAAATCCCCCGAGCTGTCAATCTCCTGACATCTTTGCTCGAAGGCTGCCCGTGAATCCACTAGCGCCATTCTTGTCACACTGCCGAGCAAGCACACCCTCTAGAAGCCAAATGCTGGCATTCTCAAAAGGGTGCAATTCCTAAAATGCCGGCATGCAAACGAAAGAGCTCGGAAAAGAAACCTACGACCTCCCAGGCGCATCATTCGGCTTTCTCACTCAGCACACAAGCATGGCTCTGAGTCTTTGTCTACAGAAATGCAAGTGAAACAGATTTATGGGAGCCCTGCGCCTGATCTCTCGTCAAGGAGCGGCTCTGTCAATGCGACCGCTAGCTTCCGCAAAGGAAACGGCGCTTTTGAAACACTGTCTGCACTTGGGAGTGTCCCATCTCAACTGAGGCTCCCAGCTGAAGGCCTCGTTAAGCGCTCGCCCGCACTGCAGAAATTTCTTGAAGCCCTCAGGTACCAAGTGCACCGTGCGCCACTTCTTGTGTTGCACCATGACAGTTCCCACCACTGCTTCTGGGGGTTTGCATACCTTGGGAGATTCCAGATCTGGTTCGCTTTCCGAACAAGAGGAGCTGGTGACGCCATTGTCTGAGCTTGCAGCAGACCCCCAGCTCGTGTTGAGCGACTTCCGGAATCTCCCTCGCCTGGCTCATCAGGTCCACCAACATTGTTGAGTCCGAATGGAGGATCTGCCCTGACTGCACAGTTGAAGTTGCCTCCTCAACCAAGGAAAAAGAGCCCAGAGCATGCTGCGAACTAATGCCATTGTCTGAGCTTGCAACCGATTCCAGCTCATTCTGAGGAGTTTCCTGCTGAGCTGCTGGCAATGGATCCAACGACGCCGTGTCCTCGACCAAAGAGAAAGGAGCCTGGGCCTGCTTCGGAGTTGGAGAGAGCGAAGAGCCCTTCACCAGCTTGGTTGCCCCCTTGGGCATAAGCCTGCCGCTCCTTTTGTTGTCAGGAACAAACACTCCCTCACGGATCTCTCGCATCATGTCTGACAAGAGTTGGAGAGGTCTTGACATGGCATCGCGGGCATATCTGTGCGCCATGTCTTGATGAGCATGATATCCCAGGGTCAAACGATCAGGTTGTGAAAATCCTCTCTTTGCGGCAAATGACAAACATGTAGCCTTAAGCGAGTGAGAAGTCAGCTTCCGTCCTTCGACAGGGTGCCCCGCCTTGACCAAGACGGCCCTCAACCATTCGCCAGCTTCACTCGAATCCAGCGGCCTAACAGTCGGGACACCTGTCTCGTCAGGTGCAGGCATCAAAGGATGTTCGGGCGGATCCCTGATTCCCAAAACACGCCTGCATTCGAACCAATCCTCAGCCCACTTGTCAACACGCACTCCATCTGTGATTGCAACCAACGGCAACATTCTGTGCTTGAATGCAGTTGCATTGAGACTCTTGTGAACTGACGTCCTGCCTTCGATGAAAGCAATAGTATCCTCCTCAAAGTCCATGTCAGCGATAATTTTCTCGACATGCTGCGCATCTGACCATCGAGCCCGAGCATAGACCACGAACAATACGGCTCCCGCAAAAGCTGCATCCCACAAACTCGACTTGTCATGAGTCAAACCGTGAAGAGTGATCAGCTCACAAACCAACAATGGGCTTGCCTGTTTGAGAACCTCTTGTTCGTTGCGAACCGCTGTGCCAAAACAACGCTTGCTTTGCAGAACAGGCGTGATCTCCTCCACGTTGAGCACAAATTTGCAAAAAGCAAAAGCTTCTAAATACGCCTTGCGACGAGAAGCGGGACCCTTGTTAATGCGATCCTGGTACAGCAACATGTAAGCTTCACTTTCCGTGCAAGGAAACATAACCAGCATGTCAGCCGCATCTTTGCAAAAACGCGTCATGCTGTTCGCCCGTTTCATGAGTGTCTGAGGCGCCTTGCCAGCAAATACATCCTCGAGCATGTCCAGTTTGGATTGCAAATCAACGCACTCATCAATCCATACCCGAATTTTGATGTCGGGTTTCCATGAATAAATAAGCTCAAGCCATTTCTTCAAAGCACATTGACGTCTGGCTTCGCGTTCATCTTGCCATGAAATCTGCTTGCCCTTCTTCACAACCTGCAAAAATAAATCTGTAGCTGTGCGCGGTTTCTTGAGCGTCCGCCCTCCCAGCACTGAAGATTCGTCTTCCGGAATCTCTGCAAAGGAACCGATCTGCATGGGTCTGTCAAATTGAGTGAAGGCAGGAGCCAAGAAAGACTGTGATTGATTTCCAAAAACTTGACACCAGAAACCGTCCTCCCAAATCTGTTGAGGGCCGCGATCTTGAAGGCTCTGCCACGCAGATTGCAACGACGCGTCAACATCGACCGAAGCAGAAACGTCTTCCGAAGGGCTGAGCACCCGCTCAGGCGAATATCCCGAATCATCATCCTGAAGAGATAAACCTTCCGAATTCAAATCCATGACCCCCCTGGCACAATTGGCCTTAGGAGCACTCCGCGTCCTAAAAAGGGGGAACCCACCCACCCACCCTAGAGCCAGACACAACATGCAATCCTTGCAACGAGTCTGAGCTAAGACAAACAACTCCAACTGAATGCTCGTTTCCTCACGAAGGTTCGGAATCGTTCGTTGGAAAATAAGGTATTCATCTCTACGAGAGTCCCTACAGCATTCCAGTTGATAAAGGGGATGACCTACCAAAGTTTGATTATTCAGATTTTGATTGTATAGTGTTTGATGATATTTATATGTCCAGTCCTTACATATTGAACAAAATAAGGGTGTTTGCAAATAACAATCCTGACATCGTAATTATAGGTGCCGGTGATGTCAAGCAACTGCCACCGATTGAACCTTTCACTAATACTCAAAATGCAGGCGAATACATTGACAAATGTATTGACATTATTTTTAAATATAATATATTTTTAAAGATATGTAAGCGAGTAGGTGGTAAGGATACAGAAGAAGGAGAAAGAAACAGAAAGAAACTGAATGAAATCTATGATGACTTTTGGGTAAAAAAGATGGCAGTTGAAGAATGGATAGTTAAGCATTTCAAATTTACTAAAGATGTTATGAAAAGCAGGAACAACATAGCATATACAAATATTAGATGTGAGGCAGTATCCAATGAGATTAGAAAAAGATTAGGTAAAACATGCAAATATGAAATTGGAGAAATCTTAATATGCAGACTTTACAAAAAGGACAAGGAAGGAAAACTGAATGTTAATATTAGGTGGAAGGTTGTTAATAACGAAGGATACAAGATAACAATACAAGATATTAAGGATGCAGAGAACATTAGAACACTTGACATTGATATTGTAGATAAGCATTTTAGATATGCCTACTGTGCTACCACTCATAGCAGACAGGGGACATCAATCAGTGATAATATGACCATTCACGAATGGAACAAAGATTATTTAGTTTGTAGGGAATGGTTGTGGACGAGTATCACACGAGCGAGGGATTTTAACAATGTCTATTTTTACAAGAACAAAGAGGGAGATGAAGATATGTTTAAGAGTTTGGTAATCAACTATTTTAAAAACAAAGTTGAAGGATATAAACAGCAAGATAGAGTAGCAAAAAGAGAAATAGACGAAGAGCAATACATTGACGAAAACTGGTGCTTAAAATACTTCAAATCCTGTTGCCAAAACTGCGGAATTAAATTTAATCTAGATACAAGAGGAGGAAAAATAAGTTCTAACTTCACTGCTCAACGTTGTGATAATGAGTTATGCCACACAGTTGAAAACTGCACCGCCTTTTGTGTCTATTGCAATTGCAGCGCGTCATGAATAATTTTGAAAATGAGTTTTTCAAAATTATTTTATTAACTTAATTAATGAGTTCAACACAAGAAATTATCAAGAGTGTATATTATGATAGAAGCGGTTATGGTTCAAAACAAACAACCCTCAAGGATGCTAAGCAAAAAGATAGTAGTATTACAATTAACGATATCAATGAATTCTTTAGTAAGAATGTAGAAGAAAAAAGAAAGATGAGAGGTGAAAATAGTTTTATTGCTCCGCATAGTTTCTGGGAATTTCAAGTTGATATGTTTTTCATTTCTAAAAATGATTTGGAAAATCAAACATTTAAAATTGGTATGATATGCATTGATATATTTAGCAAATATATGCATATCGTGCCTATCAAGTCAAAGCAACCGCCAGACATTTTAGCAGGGTTGATGGAGAACCTAAATAAAATGGGCGGGAAATATAAATTAATTTATACCGACGAGGAAGGCAGTTTTTTTAATCAATCAGTATTAGATTATTTGAAGGAGGAGAAAATTGAATTACATAGAACTAGAGGTCATCCAGCATTTGCGGAGCGTGGAATTCAGACTTTTAAAGATCAACTGTTTAAACGAGTTGAAGCGGACAAGAAAAATGGAAAGCATAATATCCAATGGACGGATTATATTTTTGAAATATTATTAACTTACAATAATAAGATGGTGCATTCTGCCACCCGCTTTGTTCCAGCACAGGCAAGATTAAAAAAGAATGAATTTGAGGTAAAAATGAATATTACAATGCAAGCAAGAAATACTAGAAAATACCCTGAGTTGTCAGTGGGTAGTAATGTAAAAATAATGAGGAAGAAAGGCATAAGCGAAAAGGCACATACCAGTCATTGGTTAAAAGAAGTATTTAAAGTAAAATCAATTGATAGTAAATTAGGGCAATCTTACTTTCATTTGGAAGGAAAACTAGTCCTTATTTGAGACACGAATTATTGAAAGTTTAATATTAAACGAAATACAGTTAAAGAAAAAACGCCTTATAATATTAGTGAAATGTTGTTTAACTATAACAAGTGCGAATGCTGTAAATGCAAAATGAATGATTTGAGTTTAACCTTGCATCATATACTACCAGCAAATGTATGTAATAAAATAAGTGAATATAATGTATACTGCAATCAATGCTGTATAACAAGAGACCTTGAAAAGTTTTTTGTTGAAGAACATAAGGATAAGGGATATACAAAGTTTCAATTACAGTTAAAATTCTTTATGCGACACCAAGCAAGATTTCCTATACACTTTTACCAGAAGATTTCCAGAAAGTCATATGAAAATGAAATTGATGAATTCTTTAGTAATATAGATTTAATTAGGAGGTTTGGAGGAATAAACGCAATTAAACCATACAAAGCATTTGTCAAAAAATACCGTTATTTGTTTGAATGGATTGACTGGCATTTATTAGACAAAGATAAAATAAACGAAGTCTTGAACGAATTTAGAGCAACTAAATATAGTATATGGTATTACTACAACACTAAATATAAAGTATGTCTATTGTTGTATTTATTCTTTTGGGAATATATTTATTCAATAATAGGAAAAAACAATATCAAATATATATACATTGGTGATATAGATAAATATGTAGATTACATATTTGAAGACATATTGCCTGACCATTATTTTAATCCATAAACCTTACAATAAAAAACATTGTAAGATTTATGATTTCAAAATGACTTGAAGAAATAATAACTTAATATATTATAGTAAAATGAGTGATACAGTCGGTATCAATGCTAAAAATATATTGAAAAACAAGTTTATGAGTTATAAATGTAAAGACTGTGAAATGCTGAAATTACCAATTGAACGCGGTTTTGCAAATGGCGTTTGTAATAATATTTGTCAATATATAATATGCAATAATTGCAATAGAATTATAAAAAAATGATGATATGAATAACAAGGATATTGATATTATAAATAATGAAACTATTGATGATGATTTAGAAATATTTGTATTTATTGAAATGAATAATTTCTTAACTATAGAAGGATTTGATAATTTATTAGAATGTAACGACGAAGGATATAATAATGATTTTATTTTTAAGTATTATAGTATTGTAAAACAATTACACAATATGTCTTTTAATATTAAACGTTTAAAATATGTTGTGTTGTTTGATTTTTTAAATGAGTTTTTAAATGATGAGTATAAAACTCACGAACTTAGATATACAATAAAACGTGCGATTGGAATAATGGGAATGTTTAGAAAACAAATAAAAAATAATTTATATAATGAAACAACATGTGACAAAATAATAGAAAGAATTAAATTAATAATTTAGTTTTAGGCGAAATAGTCCTAAAGAAAAAACACCTTATATTAATAGTGAAGAAATGAACGGTATTGAAATCAATAAGTATATTAATAAGAAATGCTATGACTGTTGCCACTTTAAAAAAGAAAATATGGAATTGTATAAATTAAATTTACCTAATGGAATAATAAATAATATTATTGGTTATGCTTTGGGTGAAGAAGATCTATGTAGAACTTGTAGAAGATGGAGACGATATCAAAATATAATAGAACATATTTTGGAGATAAAAAAATAGATGAAAGAAATGTAGAAGATGAGATTTTGATATTTTTAACTGTAAATAAATTACCACCTTACGTTTATGTTAAACAGTTTCTTAATATCAGTAAGAAAAAATATGAAATGATTTATGATATATTAAGGATGTTGTGTTATAGTCAAAAGCAAGGAGAAGATATTAAAGAATATATCAAATTTTATATTGAAATTTATAAAAAGTTTAATGTTAAAAATACAGTGAGAGATATTAATATTATTTTTAAAATGATGTATGACATAAGTGAGATTTGTCAATTAAATTATTATCCTGAACTTAAATTATAAATTAACCCATAAACCTTACAATTTAATTTTATTGTAAGATTTATGATTTGGATTTATGGGGATTTTGGGATTTGGGATTTTGCAAAAATATATTTTGGGAATTTGGGATTTTGGAAAAATATATTTTGGGAATTTCGAAAAATATCTACAAAATTTATGTATCAAATCTTGAGTTGAGGCTCTGTTATGAATTGATGAAAAAATATTATGTGGATTGGTCGGTTGAGGGGATTTTATATTTTGGGATTTTGGAAAAATATATTTGGGAATTTGGGATTTTGGAAAAATATATTTTTGAAAATTTAGAAAAATATTTGTAAAATTTATGTATCAAATCTTGAGTTGAGGTTCTGTTATGAAATGATTAAAAAATATTATGTGAATTGGTCGGTTGAGGGGATTTTATATTTTGGGATTTTGGAAAAATATATTTTGGGAATTTGGGATTTTGGAAAAATATATTTTTGAAAATTTATGAGATAAAGAGACACGTAATCAAGTATTACATTTCTAGAAATATACCTTTAAGCATTAAAAGCATTGAAAATATACTTGTTAATGAAAATGAAAACTTAGATTGTTTATTAGATGACGTTGAAACAGATGAAGGTTATGAAGCAACGATAGTAGTTGAGGTAAATATGTT